GATCCTTTAGTCCACCTAGTGGGTAACTTCAGCAACATCCCTAAAGCAACTGTTTGTTCAAATTGTACTAGTGATCTCTTTTAGAGTTAGCACTCTGCTTTAATTTAACTCATTCCTGGAATGCTAGATGATAGAATTGCTACCAACTAACTGAAGAGGGAGAAACCTGTACAGTTGCTAATACTTTTTGTTACCTACAGATATAATTAATATCTGGCCTGACTCATTATTTGATCTATTTAATTTTAGTTGGTTTAATGTACAGGGATCCTAGATAAAGAAGCATACTCCAAACTCCTGGCATTATACTTCTGATGGTCATAATAGTAGTTTCTCTGGTACTCTATACCCTCTCAAAAGGTTTTAAAGGTTTGCACATAGCCATTCGTCAAACACCAAAGTCTCTTTTCTGCTGGAATGACAAAAACTCAAAGAAATGCATGAAGATAAGTACACCATAACCTATGAATGACTTGCAGAGACCAGAACCCCAACATGATGATAAGAGTAGCACTAATGCTCTTAGTTTTGGTCACACACTCACCAAGGTGAAAGTGTGACCGAAAGGGGAAAATTGTTAAATAAAAAATACAGAAGGCCACTGTTTTGGACTAAGGTCCTGCATTAGGCCCCAACAAACTTGACTAAAAATCAAAATGGAGTCATCCATGCATGCTGAAGTTCCACATCACCAAACTGAAACTAAGTTGTTACATGACCTTCCAAGAAAGAAGGAGAAAGATAGCAGCTAATTTCCCAAATAGGTCAGTTTCAATCTTCAGTCAGTAGGATAATAATTCCCTCTGTTTTAATCCGTAATCTGATGCTAACCAATCTTTCTATTTTTCTGCCTCCCTGTTCCTGCCTTTCAAGGAAAGTAACTTTGAAATAATCTGGGTTTTTTTTTTTGTTCCTCATTTTTGTTTTCCTTAGCCCTTTGTCTATAAAACAAATCCTTTCTGTTCAATTCACTGGCAAATTTATTCTATTTTATGGAATAAAATGTTGCCCAATTATAGAATTACAATAAAACCAACTGCGATCTTTAAAACTAAATCTGTTGTAATTTTGTTCTTGACATGCCCAAGTGGACTTGATATTTTTTTCTTTGGAGAATCTTGGCCTTGTTTTGCTGTATCCCAGCTAATTGTTTAGCATAAAACCTTGAGCTCACTGGCATTATTTATCAAAAACAATTTGGGATGACTGCCTAAAAAACACATAGTCTACTCTTGCAGAAATTCTTTTCTTTCATTCTTTCTTTATCTTTTTTTTTTTTTTTTTTGAGATAGGGTCTCACTCTGTTGCCCAGGCTGGAGTACAGTGGTGCAATCTTGACTCACTGCAACCTCCACCTCCCAGGTTCAAGCAATTCTCCTACCTCAATCTCCCGAGTAGCTGGAATTACAGGTGTGTGCCACCATGATCAGCTTTTTGTTGTTGTTGTTGTTGTTTGTATTTTTAGTAGAGATGTGGTTTTGCCATGTTGGCCAAGTTGGTCTCGACCTCCTGACTTCAGGTGATCTGCCCACTTGGGCCTCCCAAAGTGCTGGAATTATGATGTGAGCCACCATGCCTGGCCTACTCTTGCAGAAATTCTAAAATGTACATCTGAATTAGAGAGTTCACTTTCTATAATACTGAATTAACTGAACTGCGTCTACTGCTACAAGTGTGGTAGATGATGCTACTTATCTCATTACACACTGTCCACATGGGGTCCCCAGGAAGAAATTCTTCTCTAAGCTTAGCAGTAATCACATTATCACTTCTCAGAAACTGACCTGCCTGTATTAGGCCCTCATAGACTAACATACCTACCAGTTTCATTTCTTTATGCTGATGGTTAGAAAGCTTTCAGTGGAATTTGTGACCCATCTATAACAGTGTGTAGATCACACATTATGTTCCTGGCTCCACCTAATGGTAATCATTTTATCTTATTCCTGTACTCATCTTTTGACTGATTCTACCTTGTGTTGCATATATCTTTCCAAACTGCCTTCTAGCCCTTCTGCAGTACAATGGTACATAAATGAAAACCATAAAAATGTAAGCAGAGAGATATGATCCATGCCCACATGTGATTGCCTTCTTCAAAGACATGGTAGGCAAATGTCTAGGGGTTCTAAAGCTTTATATAATACCAGAATCATTGGGCTAAAGAGTGAACACTTTTGAGCACAGCAGACTAACACTATCTCTCCTCATTAAAAGACGATCTTGGTGCTGCTCAAATGTAGCTTTCATAATACATTGTGTTGACACAGTCTAGCAATACAATTACAGAAATCGATCCTTTTCTCCAAGAGGTTACAGCTCTAAAATGAAAAGGGTCTACTATGAAAACTAGACATTTATGAAAAGTGAATCTTTCATTATTGGTATCTTCTGTTTATCTGGATTTATTCACTTCCTGGGAGCAGTAGAGAATGACTAAATACATCAGATAAAGTCTAAATAGCACATACAGAATAGCATGGCTTATATTTATTTTAACGAAAAAGAGTTGTAATGAGGATGAAATATAATTTTACCTTAAATTTTAAGGGAAGCAGCTTTTTTTTTTTTTTTTTGAGACAGGCTTTTGCTCTATTGCCTATGCTGGGGCACAGAGGCGTGATCATGGCTCACTGTCACCTTGATCTCTTGGGCCCAAGGAATCCTTCCATCTCAGCCTCCCAAGTAGCTGGGACTACAGGTGCAGCCTACCACGCCCAGCTAATTTTTTACAATTTTTTTTTGTAAAGATAGGGTTTCACCATGCTGCCCAGGCTCGTCTCAAACTCCTTGGCTCAAGGGATCCACTCACCTCAGCCTCCCAAAGTGCTGGGATATAGGCATGAGCCGCTGTGCCTGGCCAAGATGCAGCTTCCAGCTATTTTAAAATTCCTATTACTGAACTGTAGAATCAGATTTTCATTTAAATGTAATTTTGTTTTAAAAAGAAGTACAATTACTATCTTACTTGAAAAAAAACGTTTTCAAAACTATTTTGCATCTAGTTCCTTTTTAATGTGTCCTGAAGGCAATGTATTTTATTTTTATTTGAATTAATTTTAGAGACAGGGTCTTGCTATGTCACCCAGGCTGAAGTGCAGTGCTGCAATCACAGCTCACTATAGCCTCAAACTCTTGGGCTCAAGCAATCCTCCTACCTCAGCCCCTCAAATGGCTAAGACTACAGGTACGAAACCACCACTCCCAGCTAATATTTTTAACTTCTTTTTTTGGTAGAGACAGGGTCTCACTATGTTGCCCAGACTTATCTTAAACTCTTAGCCTCAGGTGATCCTCCTGCCTTGGCCTCTCCAAGTGCTGGGATTACAGCTGTGAGCCACTGTGCCCAGCCCTGAAAGTACAGTCTTTAAAAAAATCTGCCTCCGATTTCTTTCTTCTAGCCAGGGTCTAAGTGTGAATGTTTTTCTTCAAGCAGAGTCAACTATAGCAAATAAGACTACTTGTCAAATTATTTTTATAGACAAAACATTTTCAAAAGCAGTACAAATTAATTTACTACACTGTTTTCACCTCAGATTAATTTGATGTTTTCTTTAGAAATCTATAATGTCAGTTACAAATACTAAAATATAAAAATGCTTTGTAGATTTTCTGATAAATATAGCTGAACTAAGATTACATTTCTAGAAAACACAACTAATAAAAATCTTCTGACGGTTCTCATTTTTTGCTCCAAAAATATTAGTTTAAACTAAACAGTTACTTGTTCTCTTAAGAATGCTGGGTATGTACCTGTGGAGGAATGTCTGTTCCAAGTGATAAGAAGGGATCTGTGTGTGTTGGCTGTGGACTAGGACTGTTCCTTAGGACCTGCTAGTGTTTGATCTGGTGAGTAACAATCGCAAGTTTGAGGGATATGTAAACTCCTAGACTTACCAAATACACACACACACACACACACACACACACACACACACGTGTGTGTGTATATACATGTCAAGTAAAACAGAATAGTTACATCAAAAAAAAATCTGAAAAGAATCATTCAAAACATGCGAGACACGTTGTACTTAAAACGTACTTGAAGACTTATTTCTGTAAGGGTTGCCTAAACATCCCTAGGCTCTACTCTTTAGGAATCTTATTTCCAGGCACACTGTCCTGGAGCCTTTGCAATTTTTCAACTGGAACTCTCAGCACTTTAAAAATAGTCTAAAGTCAGGAACTGAAATACTGATCTATTTTTCAACCCCCAAGTTGCTCCTTAGTCAATATAATGCTGAACATTTCTGAACAAAGGATTATTAAGGCTGGCTGTGGTTCAGACAAGTCCTAAACTTATTAAGGGGAAAATAAGTTATTCACAAAAGAAAAAAAATGTCTATTCTCAGTTGGAGAAAGATCTATTTTCCCCCAAAACTGAATTATGTATTAATTCAGTTCAAATTTTATTTTGGACCATTAATCTGTAATTTAACATAGTTATTAAAATAAATGGATGTTTCAGTCTATTTTATGTCAAGTTGTTTGCTAGAAAAATAATTCAATGGTTAGAACATTTAAAATATTGTTTTCCCTGTGTGCTTACTTACAAATGGATACAGGTTGTACTCTTGGCAAAATTTACTTGTTACATTTTAACAATGTAATTGCTGACAAGAAAACACATTAGTACAAAACAATTTCTCTATCTTAAATCAAACTATATTCCTCCTGCCACTTTTAATAGGATAATGAATATTTCTATAACTAGTTTTTAACAAGTTTCTAAAATATTTTTAAGCCCATACAAAAGAAAAAAAGGCTTATGGAATTTTTAAGTACTACATCTTATATTTCACAAATAAAGCTAAAGAGAAAAATGCAGATCAACATTACAATTCACAAGTATTGAGCATTTAATGACCTCTATTTCTAGAATCCACTTCTTAAAAGATGCCACCAGTTCATATTAACCCATTATACATGAAGCTTCTGCAGGTGACAAAACCTGAAAGACCACATTCTAGAAGGTACTGCTAAGCTTCATTTGACCTTACCATAGCTGACTGCCATCAAATTGCCATCTTAGAACTGCTTCTGGGAAGCAGTTCCTCCACAATCTTTTCAACAGATTCCCTGTATTAACATCCACCTGTGTTACTGAAGAACAGTCTGACCCGGATTGAGCCATGGAGCAAATAATAACACTAACTGCAGCTCCAGACAGAAAAAAAAAATAGGAGTTCATTTTCCAGACTCTTGTGGGAATACAGAGCATGTCTGCTGAAACTGAATCCAAGAGTTCAATGATATTATAGACTCAAGTATTTCTTTATATTCCACGTAATAGCTTTTCCGTTCTTGGTGTTTTATAACACACTTCTGAGCCATGATTTAGAAAGTGAAGGGAATTCTCTCTCTCTCTTTCTCTCAAGTTGAATTATATGAAAGTTACAATTGCAAGGTGAAACTCTAACAGAAAGCCACAGGAGTTGCTCTATGGAGTGTTCTCAATGACCCCCATCATTGCAACTTAAGTCAGTTTATGCGGATGTTCTTTATTTTGAGGGAATGCCATTTCTTTAGGCATTAAATCTAAAATTCTTTCCTTTGGGTTTTGTTTTGCTTCGTTTTTGCCAGAGAATGACCAACCCAACAATCTGCCCTAGAAAACTTGAGTATTACGTCTTCATTCTGACATTTTCAACCCTGTTTTCTCTCTTGACAAGGATATACATGTTATTTTGCTGATATGACTATTGAGTTGCATGAGGCCTTCTCTTTTTATGCAGAGGCCATCACAGTAATCAGTTTTATGTAGCTGCCACTTCATACTACTGTATCCTAAGAGCAGACATGCTAGCAATTCTCTTCAGTTTAATTCAATATATAAGCCACATGGATCTATTTATTAGCTGATATTAGCCTCCAACATCTAATATAACAAATACTACCTAAAAGAAATAGGGCTTAAACTGTATCTAAGATTACAGAGGGAAATAGTCAACCACTTGAGGAAAAGATCTTGTTTTTCCCTGCTATTAAAAATTTCCTGTAAAAACACTGTACTTGCTTCTATAGAGGGCATGCATCATCAGGTTTTGAGTACAGACATGGAGGCGGTTCCTTTAAATAAACACAGGTGTCAGGAAGCTTAAGCATGTAAATGGCATCACACTTTATTTTTCTGTAAGCTTAAAGTCTTGAAAAGTAATGTCCTGGATCAACAGGAGCAGGGCTGGTACCAAGGCATGATCCATTCCCTACTTTGCATTTGGCTGAAGAAAGGCTTGGTCCTTGGCTGGATCTAAAAAGTGCCCTAAAAAAGGCCCTGCTTTATAGCAGTGAAGAGTAAACTGGAGATACCATGTTGGAATGCAAGTCTTAAGAGAAGGTGGAGTTCTCAATGAAAAATAGAGAGCCTCAGAGAGAGAGGAGAGACAAGAACCCAAGAATCACCAATGTTTTGTTTCTCTGTAAGAAAGAAGGCCAAGGTGCAAGACTATCCTATGTCCTCTTACTCCAAGCTGCCCTCATGAGATGAATGCTCTAAGCCACTCACTTGAATACATGTCTTTTGAAAACAGAAGTAAAAACACTTATGTTGACAACTTAAAACAAAGAGGTTTGGTTGTATTTGAGAGCACATGGATACTAGCTTCCAACAGTTTTAAAGAAGCTAAGAACTGATATTTATCCAGGCCCCACTATGTGCCAGGGCTACCTACCACGTTTCTTCATTTGAATTTCATAGCCACCCATGGTGGTGTGCATTATTATGCTTACTTTATAAATGTGGAGGAGTAATTTGTTCAAGGCCATACTGTCTAGAACACAGAGCAACAAGACCTGTCCAATTCCAAAAGCCACATTGTATCTCAAAAGCTTCTTTTAGAATATTTGATATAGTCCTCATGAGAGATTTATGAAATATAATTTTATCTTGAGAAACTAAGAAATACAGAAGAGCAGCTTTCCTCATCAGTACATATGGATCTAATAAACTTAAAAATATCTTGTTTTTAGCGTAAGATACACTATACTTGGTTTCTTTATATCTCCTTAAATTTGTAGTCCAAATTACTCCTGTCTTCTCCACAAAATGAAATGGTAACCTCTATGATAAATTATGAGATTCTCTATAACGTAAAATCATCATTGAGTCCAAAGAGAAAAGAAATAAAACAACCATTATATGTTTTAAAACACGGAAGATTCAAGGATACGTATAGAACATAGTATACTTTTTTAAAAATTTAATTTTTTAATTGATAAAAATTGTGTATGTTTATGGGATACAGCATTATGCTTTGAAATATGTATACACTGCGGAATGGCTGAATCAGGCATATGCCTTTCCTCATATACTGATCATTTACTTGTGGTGAGAACACATACAATTTGCTCCCTTAGTTTTCCACTATACAATGCACTGTTATTACATATAGAGAACAGAATATAAACATTCATAAAGAGGAAGCTGAAAAAAGTTATAGTCCTTTATTTTATGGTAGTTTAAATTTTTTATATGTTTTTTTAAATTATCATATTAAAGCTTTAAAATAAGATACTAAATTACAAAGGTCTTTACGACTCAAAGAGAAACAAGGAAAATTAGAGTATATTTAACAAAATTTAAAGAAAACCTTTTTAGTTTGTGATATGTAATAACAAAAGCACATTATGTTTCTCTAAGAGAGTTTAAGACCTTCCTCCTTGAATTTTTGTTTTCCATGTGTCCACTTTTTAAATGTTTCCATTTCCTCCACACACATATTTCTGAAAAGTTATGAGCAGGAAGTTTTCTCATGTATGTTCCCAAGCAGAAAGTTCTCCAGCTGCACATAGACTTTCCCATTGCCCCAATATTAAAGTTCTGGGCAAAATTTTAATTACTAATTTAGGAAAGATGAGACATTTTAAAATTTAATACAGTTTGCCCTTTTTACAGACCATGTAGAATAAAGCCTTAGTAGTATGCTTGAAAAATCTCTTAGCAACTGAGAGCAGAGCTGGCCAACAATGGATGATTCATTGATTTAGCTTGAGTGTGCAGGAATGTCTGCCAAAAGGTCTGAATAAACTCACATTGCTAGACACTATGGTAAAACGTACCCTGACCTCTTTTAAAACTCTATCAGAGCGGAAAGTTAAACTTGCAGCTTTCCAGCAATTCACTGGCATCTGGAAACACACTTGAATTATAATATCTTGCTTTTATAACAATCGATAGATTATTATTTTCACCTAATTAGACAATGGCTGCTACTAATTGGAGGTTTCTAAGGGGATACCACAGTGTTTTTCAGCACTAAAAATAATGGTTTCCCATTCAATTTAAATCTGAAAGGAGGCTTTTTCAAATCCGAAACTGAAAGAGCTGATTGTTGGTTTTTGGTAATATTGACCTAAGGGTTATGAAACATTACCCTAAACAATAATTTGTGCATTTAAAATTGGTAAACATTATGTAACAGCTACCCCATGTCTGTCAGTTTATGCATATATGTAAAGATTATACCAGGACATCCTACCTCATATTTATATAAAATTCAAAAGAGCTCGCCTCTTTTGGTTACATCTGTCACTTGTCTCCTCAACATCCTTTTTAGGGGTAAGTATCATTTCTCTTGCTTTAGAACTAGAAGACCATGCACGTGGAATTTTAAATTGTTGGCTTGAGTTCATAGGTATTCAAATCAAGTGCAGGCCCAGGTTTACAAACGGATATTCTAATTTAAAATTGAGTATTAGCTGCATTGTACTACTTTATCCCCCACAACTTCAGCGGCTGTACTACAAATAATCCATGAAACCAAATCCTTGTTTCCCAGTGGTGAACAAAGATATACTTCCTAATTTCTTTTGCCCCATACAAATGTAAGCATAGGGCAAGGAATTTTCTGTCTTGAAAGAGTGTGCTTTTGTCTGCTTTACTTCTTCCTAATCTTTCCCCTTCTCCCTCTTTCTCTCCTTCTCCTTTTTTTTTTTTTTTTTTTTACCTTTTTGTGGTAAAATATTCAGGATTAACTGAACTTCCCTGCTGCATCCCAGAGGTAACCATCTTTATCAGTTTGAAGTACTCCTTTTCATATTGTTTTCTGGGGCATTTCTGTGATCAAATGAATACATATAAAACATATAATTTTGATTTACATGTTTTCCCTGTTTAATATATTATTGCATATTGTTCTATAACTTACTTTACTAAAAAAGTACTTCTTGGAAATCTTTTCATACCTGTACATTTGAATCTATTTCATTTTTAAAATTGCTAATAAGTATTTCATAGAGTTAGCTTACTTTCTGAAATGTGGCAAGTTATACACATCCACTAAAAATACAGCTGTTCTTCCAGCATAACCTACATGGTCACATAAAACAAAACAGCATATGGAAAAGTACAAATGAGTGAAAAAATTTAGTCTAATTTTTAAAAATTTGCTTCACTCTTGACAATTATATGTATCCAATAGCACCAGGGGCAATGGATGGGCTTGTTACATTGGATCGAAGTAGTAAGATGGAAATGATGGAGATCTTGCAAGAAGTGGGCCTTGTCACTTGAAGCAGAATACAGAGCTTTATGGGTCAAAGCTGAATAGAACACACATGGTTCCTGCCCTCATGGGGGTAACCGTCTAACTCTTAAAGACCCTCCAACTTTACCCCCTCCTCTCCGTTCCCGCAGTAACTGACAGATTAAACCAAACCTTTCCAACCCACAACCTGCGTGCCACATGAGGCCCAGGATGTCTTTTGCAGCCCAACGCAAATTTGTAAACTTTCTTAAAACGTTAGGAGATTTTTTTGGGGATTTTTTTTTAACTCACCAGCTATTGTTAGTGAGCTAACAATATATGTGGCTCAAGACAATTTTTCTTCCAATGTGGCCCAGGAAAGCCAAAAGATTGGATACCCCAGTCTAAATTTTCCACATTTCTGGTGTGAGCTATTGCAGGAAACCCTAAGTGGTTTTCTTGAGTCCAAAGTTTTGAACTGCTAATCCACAGCTGAGACATTCCCAAAGAGAAAGATCTGATCACGTCACTGCCCAAATCAAACACCTTTGTTATTTTCCCTTAAACAACAACACAGAACAAAGTGTAATCATCTCAACCTACATTCATAGTCTAACTTCTCAATTTTTCTCCTGTTAAAACTTTAAGTTCTAGTCACATAAAAACTTCCTACTGCTCTGTGGAGATTCTATGTCACACTTTTATGCTTTTTCACATACTGCCTAAAAGCTCTTTACCTTCTCTACCTGGATCTCCTGCTTGTTGCTCTAGACCAGCTTCAACACTGCCTCTTTGGTGAAAGGCTACCTGAACTTCCACAGCAGGGATTTACTTTTTCTGTGCTCCCAAAGCAGGTTGCATTCACCTCTATAATAGCATTTCATGCTGGTTCAGCATTTTTGTAAAACATATATGTTTTTAACTTTAAGAAATTGTACATATTAGTTGAAAACCAATTGTGAAGCACCTATGCTAAGGTTTTGTCAAATCTTAAGTTATCGGTCATAACTCATTGCTATACTAGTCCTCAGCCCTACTTGAGTTGTTGAACTACAAGTTAATTGGGAAGATCCAAAGCCAATTGTAATCATAACAATTATCCTTATGTATATATCAACAGAGATTATGAAAATATAGATTAACTGAGCACAGTGGCTCAGGCCTGTAATCCCAGCACTTTGGGAGGCTGAGATGGGAAGATCACTTGAGTCTAGGAGTTCGAGACCAGCCTAGGTAATAAGATACAACCCTGTCTCTACAAAAATTAGCCAAGCACACTGACACACATCTGTAGTCCCAGCTACATGGGAGGCTGAGGTGGGAGAATCACCTGAGTCCGGGAGGCAGACACTGCAGTGAGCTGTGATCATGCCACCAACACTCCAGTCTGGGTATCAAAGTGAGACCCTTTCTCAAAGAAGTAAAAAACCAGATCTGCAGAAATTTCCTTAAAACTGATAATGCTTATGTCTTTTTGAGAAAAAGGAAATGAGATTAATACTGAATATTCTGGGGTTCAGGTACTGAGTATAATTGAGTTTAAAACACATAATTTGAATAAAATTTTAAAGGTAACTTTGTAGTAGTTAACATGACCTAGTCCGAAGAGTATTTTGATTCTTAATTTTACTTAAGTCTGTCTCATAAAAATAATTAAGTCTTTGCTTCTCTGTTGGCATGTCAAAGTATACAAGCCAATGAGAAATATCTCCTTGCTTCTGGTAGAATAACCTTGGGGAATATGAACTTATAAGAAGCAGGCATTCTGAGCCGGGGGCGGTGGCTCACGCCTGTAATCCCAGCACTTTGGGAGGCCGAGGCGGGTGGATCACGAGGTCAAGAGATCGAGACCATCCTGGTCAACATGGTGAAACCCCGTCTCTACTAAAAATACAAAAAATCAGCTGGGCATGGTGGCATGTGCCTGTAATCCCAGGTACTCAGGAGGCTGAGGCAGGAGAATTGCCTGAACCCTGGAGGTGGAGGTTGCGGTGAGCCGAGATTGCACCATTGCACTCCAGCCTGGGTAACAAGAGCGAAACTTCGTCTCGGAAAAAAAAAAAAAAAAAAAAAAAAAAAAAAAGAAGCAGGCATTCTGATGATAGGTGTGGGAAGGAGGGAGGGAGACAGTATAAAAGAGTAGAGTCAACAATCAAGGAGGCCATAAGCTGTTATAGATAGCACTGTTCATCCATGGTGCTGAGATGACATCTTGAGACCCAACTCTACCCAAGCATATTTTCACAGGTCCACTGACTAAGTGCCCTTGCAAGGATCCAAACCAGCCATCTTAGTCTAGTCCACCAGTTATCACAGCATCACAAGAAACACTGCAGTGCATACGAAAACATTTAACCATAGTCAACCATGAAACAGACCAATAACATTTGACAGAGAGGCAGGAGTCTAAGAAATAGCAATAAATTGTTGTGAATTGCCTGGAATTAATAAATTAAACATCTGGAACAATTGCAGTAAGAGGCTTAGAGTAATATTTAAAAAACAAACTACAAGTGTTAAGGTCAAGTAACTCAAACAGAGGAATTCACATAACTAGAGAAACAATTATAAAGGTAACAGACAGACCTGCCTTAAGTAGGATGCTCACTTGCTTGACAAAGTAAATTTTGATGCTGATGAGGG